CAGGCTAATGCTTATTTTATAAACGCTGCATCGGTTGGAAGCGTTTCAGCAAAATCTATATTAATGATAAACGATAATGAAAATCAGCTGCTTTGTAATATTGAAAATCATGCTACGGATATGAAGAATCAAATTGAAAAGCAGAAAAAACAACTAAAAGAAAAGATGAAAGAGAAATTTGAGGTTTTAATATTTTATTTCATATTACACAATATAGATTATAGGAAATACAGTTTATTTACTCTTTTTTCATTCGTTTTTAAAGGAATTCAGAAATGATTGTTGGCTATTAGAGGATGAATTGAACGATTCTAAAACGTGTAAAAATGATGTTTTACTCAAATTATCAAGTATTGTAGAAAAATCAAAAAATATAGAATTTGAGCCAAATTCTCAACAAGATTTACTTGGATCGATAAAAGGCGAATCAGTAGAAAAATATAATAATTCTGATAGTAAAGAAAAAGTAGCACCAGGGTTTAATTTCCCAATTCGACCTTCAGGATGGGCTGAAAGACGAAATTTTTACTACACTAGACGTTGGAGACTTAAAGAGAGAAAATCAAATTGGAAAAAAGATCGCTAATCAATTAAAGATAATGAAAATTAAAAAAGTTTAACAGAGATTAATAAATTTTTTATAGTAACCTTCAACTTCAACTTTCTCTGTCTAATTAATTACTGTTATTAGAAACATAATTATCCATTCTTCATTATGCTTAGCCTTGAGAAGCTTTTTAATAATACTTCATACAATTCGAAACCAGAGATATTATCTATATTTCATGAATAAAATATAAAACTAAATGAATTATAACGTAATCTTTTCCCCCTCTTTCCCTTTTTGCTATATAGTGTAAGACAGATGGCGTTGGGAACAGTTAAAGTCTTTACATATGCTATTGTTTCTATAGCACTTACCTTATTAATATTTAACTAGATAAATAAAAAAGTACAAATATATATATATATGTATAGAAACAGTTATTCCATGTAAAATATGAAAGGTTCATTCGTCTATATATGTCATCTGCAGTAATGTTATTGTATAAGAAATTACAGAAATGTTTCTTCAAACGACCTTTATACGATATCGCTCTCTTTATCTTTTCAGACGGGCAGACGATAAAAAGTCAACTCTATTTTAGGAAAAAAGAAAATAATAATTTTTTATCTTTCTCTCTCTTTCTCTATCTCTATCTCCATGTCTCACACACACACTCTCTCTCTCTTAAATGAAATAAATTCTGATATTTGAAGCATTTCAAATATATAGAAAATAGCAAAAAATAGAATAATTAAACTACCTTAAGATCCTATTGATATGAACGAATCTCTTTGAAATGTCTAAGTAAAGAAGAAAGATATATTAGATGTATTCCAACTGTACTTAAGTCTAATAAGCCTATAATTATAATATTTGAATCGCTTTAAGAAACGTCTACTTCAAGTCTAGATATACACCGCAGAATGTAATGGTAATGTGTTTATACAAATATACAATATAACATAGTATGAAAACAATTGGAAGAGAAAGATAAAAAAAAGCAAATGGTAAAAAATGTTGTATTTTTCTTCTTTTTACGTATAGCATAAAATGTATAACAAAAAAAAAATAACAGGGTAGTTATTAGTGCATTGAATACATGGAATTGTAAATATCATACATATCAGGTATATATGTTAATGTATTTACGACGGGGAAATGTTTTGCTGAAGAGATCTTTTTAGAGAATTTCTTTTTTCATGAATAAATTAATCCATTTTAAAGGAGTTTATTAACCAAAGTCAATCATTATTAGCTTATTGTACTTTTCTAATACATTTGTAATTCTAATTTCTTTCTTTACAAGCTTTTTGGAGTTGATTTCCACTCGTTTAATTAGTTACAGTTACAGTCTAGTACAGTTTCATCATTGTGTGCAAAACAGGATTTTTCTTGTTAAAAACAAAATATTTTTTGATGGCACGATTACATAATATCATTATTCGTCTAAAGAGTTTTTTCATGATTAATTAAAAACAGATTCTCTTGTCCAGCAAAAAATATTGCTTATAACTTCTAGCAAAAATTTATTCTACAAAACGCACCCCATTCATAAAGAAAAAGGAGCCATAGTTAAAAAGTTCAGAAGATATTCTTTGCACTAAAAATAACATGTTCTTTTATATAAAAGGAGGATATACAGTACTATCTTGTTGTGTTATTTTCACAGTATTATACGATATATACTGTATATACTTCTATGTATAACATCACTGATAGTTAACCACGTCTTTAAGTTACATGTTGAACAGATTGTTAAGTCAGAGTATTTTATCAGAGCTCTTTTTATATCAAAGAAATATTCTGAATAAGATATAATATACCATCATATCATTGCCTTTGCTTTTTCTAATCTAAATTGTCTTGATAAATATAACCAACATACAAAAGCGAAAATTAGCATAGCGAAAGCCAACCAGCCAAATGGAAGAGACCAACTAACAGATATACTCCGACAATTACATAAATCATTGAAACCGATTGGAGACAGGGAAAAGCATTTTTCATTTGATCTCATATAAGACATTTTCGTGTGCATGATAATTAGTCCAAAACAATCAAATACACCTGAAAAATAGAAACAATAGGAGAATTTTAATAAGACAATAAAAAATATTCGATAAATGGATGCATGTACATATATTATCTTTAACTGTTACATTTGTACTTAAAATAACCCGTCAAGATTTTAATAAGGAGTGTAAAACTACCGATAAAAACAACCTATTTTGCTTATCGATTTGAGACAGACCTCATATTTTAACGTTGCCGCAGTGCGAACTGTCAATCAAAAAATTAATGTGCAAACTATAAGAAGTATACTTTTATTTAAAAATGTTATATTTGCAGTATTTTTTACATTAATCTCTTCTATTGTCTGATAGTCTTTCTTTGTACTTTTCATTTACAAGTATTCGAATCGACTTGCTGCAGGTTTTACATTTTCATTTTACCCTATTGTAATACTTTAACTATGTGTCATTATAGCAGTTTTTATGTATATTTGTATATATATATAATTTATACATACATAATTCATGTTTTCAAGAAAGGCTAATAAAGGAAAGCTATTATCAAGAGTCTAGAGTTTTCCTCCTTGAAAAGAAAGAAAAGAAAATACTCAAGTTTATTTTCCCTATCCATTGTTTTTTTTCATTTCTCTAACTAGGAAAAAGGAAGTTAGAGGGAATAACGATCGACATTAATAAAACTAGTATCTTTGTCTTTCGGCGGATGCATAGAAATCTTTGAATCGATTGAACATATCTATTTTTTTACCAGATTTCATCAATATTTCTAACAAAAATAGTACGTTTTATAGTCTATTTCTTTTCCTATACCCCTTCTTACAGCTCATTGTAATTTAACAATAGGGTTTTTCTAATAACAAAAAGAAAGTATCCTTATTTTTCCCATTATATTTTCAATTCGCCTAGTTGTTTTTAAGACTAAGATATAGGAAGATTAACAGAGAAAGTATACTTACTAGCAACAATATACATAACTCCTGTTACCATACATGCGCTGACTTGTCTGGAAAGTATTCCAAAGGTTCCAGTTATTAATGCGGTTAATAGACACATAAGACTAACAATTGTACATGATGAAGCAGAATTTTGCATCCCTGTTAGGTGAATTTGTTTTTTATTTTAATTACTTTTCTCTTATTAGACTTTGTATAAAGAAAGTCATATTTTATTGATAAAGAATACACTTACTTAGTAGCCATTTACCCTTTTCGTCTAATTTATCTCTTGTTTTTGGATAATCAGTAATATACTCAAAGCACTTTTCAACAATCGGATCAGTTACGTAAATTTGTTTTCTATATTTTGTACGAAACTCGTCTGTATTTAAAAAAGAAACAAAATAGAAGAATGTAGATTTTTACCTTATTTTTGACATAAACAAAAATTATAAACTTATTGCTAAATGTTAAAAAAAACACTGCTTATTTGAAGGTTTAATTTGTATGACGTCATTGAAGAAAGAGTGCATTTATTCTTTATAAAAAAAAAAACATTCGAAGGTTGCAATTGATCAGACAGTAATGGTATAGAAATATAAGCTGCTGCTGCAAAATATTTTGTGTTTAAAGGTAAAAAAGGAAGAAAAGAAAGTCGAATGAAGTAGCAATAACAAACGAAAATACTGACTATATATCAGCATGTACATAGTGTATATACACAATACGTAAAATGTATTAGTATATGTGTACAAAAGAAATGTAGAGAATGGGTACTTTTCACTCTTCTCTATTATCACATTGATATTCTAATAGATATAAACTATGAAGAAATCATAATTAAATCTAGCTTTATGTAGTGTTAAAGGCTATAATAAAAAGATATGAATAAATAAGCCATCTTTTATTCTTCACTAACAGTTAATAAAAGAATCTTAATGATAGAAATATGATAACTTTTTAATAACTAATTATCTGGGAAACTAATTATTAAAAAAATTGTTGTTCAGTTAGCATACTTAAGTGATTTGTTCTTGATAATCAATTAGCTAACAGAGACAAGCTACGACATTTATTAGACAATCTTTTAATTTATATTCTATATACAATAATACAGTAGATATGCTATTTATTTAAAAATACCTGAAATTTTATTGCATACTCTCCAAATCCCACCGAAATGTTCAAAGGCCGTATACTCTTTAAAAGTTACGTTCAATTTAGTAGAAGTCAAATCTCGTTTCTGAAGATAATAGAAACCATTTTCTTTATCCAAAATTGAAGCATTAAGGTTTATATCTTTTATTTTTCTTATACAATTTATACTAAATTCGGATAATTCCCAAAAGTCTGTTGAAACTCCAACCACCATAAACGTCGTTGATATCAAACCAAGACAGATAGATAGGCAAATAACTAATCCAATAGGCGGACCAGGTACTAATGTCATTACTCTTTTTCGTTTAGAAAGGGGCCTTACGAGTTCGGGTGAAGGTGAAGAATTCATTTTGAGGAAGCTAGAAGATATGCCTATAGGTATAGAAATGACAAGCGTCTATGCTGCCATCTTGATTGTCGTCATGACGCCCATGAACAATAGATACTTGAGCCTACAGATTTAACGCATGTTACACTTCAATTATTTATTTATCACGATTATTATCCATCTTATCTTTCCAATATCTGAGTAATTGTAATAAATTTTGAAATTGAATGTAAATAAAATTAATATAAGATGTATTGAACAATGTTTACATTTTTAATATGATCGAACCTGTCTGTTAATTTTTATCATATCTTTGTATTCACCTCCACAAGCCAATTTTATTTAATTATTCTCATTTCTCTCACGTTACTTTTCATATTTCATTATTTAAATTGCAAAAAACAAGAGAATTATAATTTCTTTATAAATACTATACTTAAAAATTATTAAATGAAATATAGTAAATCTTTCAAGAAAATACTTTAATATTTAAATAATAGTTAGATAATTAGAAAAATACTAGAAATAAGACACTAAAATGAAGATGTTGTACTAACTTTAAATATATATAGATATATATAATATTGTATCTATTTAGAGAACGCTATAAATAATATTTTTTTGTAACTATTTATAAAATATAGCTATTATTTATCTTTAAGGTAAATTCTTTATGAGTCAAGTCATCCATCGATGTAGTCAGCTAAGCAGCCAGACACCTAACCATCCCTAAACCAGTCGATACACGCAACTCAACATGTTTCTCTCTGTCACATTTATTTCAACTCTTTTTCTTTCTCCTTCTATTCTGTCTTTAATCTTCTTTATTGGTTTTTTTTTCAACCTTATCTCTTAATATGCTAAATTATTAAGTAATCACATTCCAGTTTTTCTATAAAGAGAAGAATATAGAATTAACTGGGAACAGGTTAGTGAACTCATTTGACCCTTGTTATAGCGGAAATATGTATTTAAGAAGCTCTATTAATGACTTTACAAGGATAAAAAATATCTTTATAGTAGCTATAAATCAATGTTTTTTTTATACTGTGTATAGTACAAAGCTTCGAAGTTAAAAAAAAACAAAAAAGAATTAATCTCTAGAAAAATATTTAATCTTTCTTCTTTTGTAGTTACCTTGTTTTATTTTAATATCATATATACTTAGTCATTTATAAATTAATCATTAAAAGTAATACTTAATTAATATGGCGTCATTATTTTTGTATTATGATAGTTTAAAACTTTTGTACTAATAGACAATTTATTTTAATCCAAATAACCTATAAAAAATGTCTAATAGAAATCTACATTTCGCTAGTAATAATAATAATAACGGCGATGAAACTGATAATGATATAAATGATAATGATAAGAATTTATTAAATGATAGGATATTAAGTCAAAAACATGGTTTTATCAAATGGAAAAAGAGAAAACTATACAAACTGTATGAAGAAGAACAAAAACAAAAAGACGACTTAGAAGAAGAAGGAGAAGAAGAAGAAGAAGAAGCAGGAAGGGAAGAGAAAAAAGAAGAAAATCTACACACCTTAAAACCTCAATCATCTTCTCAAGCAATTTTCTCACAGGTTATTTATAAATCTTTCTAATGCATTAAATAAAGCAAAGCTAATTAATTAATTATTTAAATAAATTAATTTTTTTTAACTATTAAAAGATTTGTTAACAATTAAATAGAATGAAACTTTTACCACTGATAAATTTAGTATAAACTCTAATACCAAATTAGCATTGATCCTTACAATGTTAGGCACATCTTTCGTTTATGGATGGAACATTGGATGCTTAAATAATTTGGATAGAGTAAGTTATATTTAATATTCATTTTTAACTATTTTTCTTAAAATTCACGTTAATATATTGCATAAAAAATGATATAAATATCAATATATTACTTAAAATTTTTACGATATTCTTATTCAAATATTTCTTTAACATCTGCAAAATTTTTTTGCAGATATAATCAATATATTTTTATATAGGCTTAGTAAGAAATGATAGAGCTCAGTCTAAGCTCTCTACATTTTCTTTCATGTTTATTTCTGTATAATTTGAAAAATAATAACAAATACATAATGAATTATTTTATTCATATAGAGAATAAACGATCCTTTTAATTAACTAATTAATTAATTCCATTAATAATACTAGACAATCAAAGAGTTTTATAACGAAACAAATAGGGAATCGTTAAAATGGAGGAGAGAAAACCAAAAGGAGATCGTCTATTTCCAAACTATAAATGGAGTTTACTTTCTGGCAGGAATCATAGGAGTCTTTGGGTAAATAGATCATTTACTTTCCCATCTATGTCTTTATCTCTCTGTCTCTTTTCTGCTTCCATTCTAACATATTATTGTTTTAACTATTTATATTTCATCCTTCAATGGACATCTAGAATTGACTATGTTCATGAAAAATTAGGTTATCGCTTGGCTATAAGTTTTAGTCAAATTTGTACTATTATAGGATCAGTAATTGCCTGTTTAATTGTTCAGTTCAATAGTGTTCATTTACTTGGTATATCTAGATTTATTTTGGGATTGCCAATAGGTTTGCTAAATTGCATAGTTCCATTGTTTTTATGGGATATTACAAGTCATCCAATAAGAAATTATCTGTCAGTTATCCATCAATTTTCAGTCATCTTAGGTATGTCAATGTTTTTAAAACTAGAGTATAATCAATACAACATAAACATCTTTCAAATGTAATCCCTATGAAATTAATAGGAATTGGTATCTCGAGTTTCACGGCATTAGAAATCGCTATAGGACGACGTAACATATGGCCTTTTGTCTTGACAATTCAAATTATTCCAGGAATTATTACTCTCTTTGGTATTCTATTTGTTTACGATAGTCCGAAGTTTTTATTTATAAGAAAAAATTGGGAAAAAGAGGCTCAAGCTTCTTTAAAATTCTATAAAGGAAATGACATTGATTTCGATAATGAACTTTATTATCTAAATATAGAAAAGATGAAAATTTGCTTCGAGACAACAACTGGAGCAAAAAAGTCATCATTTCGATATCTATTTACCGATAAATCCGTTCGTAAACAATTAATTATAGTCATTGGCTTATACCTAACTCAGCAATTTACTGGTATAAACTCTATACTATTCTATTCTTCTTCTCTCTTCAAAGGTACGTAGGCCTACAAGGCTACAAAATAGTTATTGACTAATAACTTGATCTTTTATGCTTGCCTCTTCGTTCATCTATATTGTTATTACTATTATTACATTGGGAAGAAAGAGGCTAATTACAAGAGCTCTGAATTGCAATGGGCAGTATTCGGAATAAATTTGATCAATATCCTAATTGCAGCTATTATGATCCGTTTTTTGGATTTTTATGAGCGACGTAATGTCATTCTCTATACTTTAATATTTATGATAGTGGACTCTATTACGATTACAATACTTTTGTGTAATTCTCATAATCGAGTCTGTAGCTATCTGATATTTGCTGCCTTTACTAGTTACTTAATAGCGTATAATATTGGCCTTGGTCCATTACCTTGGTTAGTGGTTAACGAACTATTTGATGAAGAAATTCTAAGATATAAAGTTATAATAATTTCTAGTTTAATTAATTTATTAATGAATCTAATAATAATAATATCTTTTCAAAGTCTTTTATATATTTTAAAAGGTTATGTATTTTTAGTATTTACCTTTTTTATGATCATAGCCTATATAAATATTTACATCTTTTTAAATGAAGAAATTGAGCATAGAGACGACGATGCTACTGTAACATATTTAGAATAGTCTAATTTTTGTAATAAGTAGTTAATTTATTCATTTATTCATTTATATATAAAAATAAATTTATCAAAAATAAGTTAGATTACTTATTTTTTATCTCTTCTTAAGCGAACTCTACACTGAGGACACTTATTAACCAAATATACCACTGTAGCAGGTGCTTTGCAACCTGGAATGGGGCATATATCTGGATCAATTTCTCCAGATGAAGATCCCGATTCAACACTAGTAAAATAATATTGTCCAGCATTCTCTGTACACTCAGCCAAATCTTCTTTAATATATATTTGATCTCCTTCCTCAAAAGCAATTCCATCTTTCATGCATACTTTATTATAAGGACCATCACAATGTGCTACAGTTAAAATCATATAAGTAGCATATAGAATTAATATTAATTCTTTCATTTCTTGTTCTTTTTTTCTTCGTAAATCAACTATATATTTTATATTCTGATTATTAGATTTCTTATCAATTTTGATATTCTAAAGGAAAAGCAGAAATAGATCTTTTTTCTTTTCACTTCTCTTCGATCGGTCAACTGAAACGAATAAAGTAGGAGAAGATAATTGTAATTGAATTAATAAGCCATGTTAAAACAAACCGCCTTTGCTATTACAAATATATTATAAATGAGTAATATTAACATTCAGCATTTATTTTTCTGTTTCTCTCTGTCTGTTTCTCCCTCTCTCTCTCTCCCTCCCTCTCTCTCTCTCTCTCTCTCACTTTAATTAGCTATCTTCCTATAGTGTTTTTTATCATTAATTTCTATTTATACATGGCCGTTCGTGTCCTTTTTTCCTTTCCTTTTTATTATTATAGTTATTTTCGTGGCCTATTTTATTAATGATCCAGATAAGTCTACTTATGTTTAACATCAAAATTAAATAATAATATAAAAAAATACTATCACTGTATGGTTTAAAAGTTTGTATTCTCTTTCTCATTCAATAAGGTATTTATTGCGAAAAATATGTAGTTGTTATTTTAATACATTATCTGTCTAATAATTGGTCTTCTGTAATGTTGACAAACTTTGTTGACGACCATTTCAATCTTCTGGTCTAGTTTTGACAAAGACCAAACATGTATAAAGTTTTCTGAACCTACTGAACTTTTTAAGAAGCCTTCATATGGTTCGTTTGAAATTCCAATAACGTAGAATTGTATACCAGAAGAGATTAATTTAGATATTTTCTTTTTTACTTTATACATTTCTGACTCGGAATTAAAACATCCGTCTGTTATTAGAAGGAAAACGTCTGGTGCATTTCGCCTATTTCCTCTTCCTTTAAACGTATTTTCCATATCTTCTATAGCTGCTAATAAATTTGTTCCCCTTCTACCGAGCTTAGTTCTTCTATTAAGAATCTTTAAATATGATGCGAAGTTTCCATTATCCTCTAATCCAATTAAACGTTCTACCACAGTTGAAAATCGATTAATAGCGAATTTTGTTTCACTAGATCTTAGACTTAATGTGACTAGAACTTCTTTTGTAAATTGTTGAATTTTATACCAATTTGACATATATGTGTCACCTATTAAGGATGCTGATGTGTCCATCATTATACCAACGTCCAATTTATTTCCTTTCGAACAGGCTATAATTGTTAAATACATAGATTAGAGAAATTACTAGATTACATAACTATACTGTTATTATATATGAACCTTTGATGTTTTGTTCCAACTGAACAGCTGCTAAAGGTCTTGCATCGCATATTTTTCTATAAACTTTATTTAAGTTTGGTACTAACTGGGAGAATTTTGGGATATGTATAAAATTATCTCCTGATATTTGTCTCATAAATGTCTCATTTATCCGTTTCGTCATTCCAATAGAGATTAATGTTACATTCTTTCGATTTTTAAGATTATTTACAGCATCTAATACGTATTTAGCTTGCCACGCTGGATTTGGATAACCATCGGTTATTAATATAAAAATATCTAATGCATTCTTTCTATTCCCTTTATTATTTTCAAACATTTCTTCCATTGTTTTTATTGCGCCTAACAAATTTGTTTTGCCATTTGGTTGACCAATTCTTGTATTTATTTTATGAATATAATTATTCACATTTGGTGTATCATTCAATGAAAAGATCGTTTTAATTTCATTACCAAACTTTTCAGCGGCAAATTTAAAATCATAATTTGAGATTTTAAAGTTACTTATTAACTTTTTAACAAAATCTTTAATACTATTCCAATTATTTAAGTTTTGTTTTGTATCTTCCTTTATTGATCCTGAACTATCAATCATTAAACCAATATCCGCCATTTTATGACAAACTGTAATAAAAGAATAAAGTTATTAGTTAAAAAGAAAAATTATTATTTGTGTATCTTCATTAATTAACCTGGCGCAGCTGTTCTAAACTTCTTAACGGAATTACAAATTGAGCCAAATAATCCTCCACTTATTCTTTTAAAATCGGAAAATTGGTTTATTTTTACGTACAAGTCATCTCTACTAGCTATTTTTCTTAAAAGCGTCTCGTTTATATTTTTTGTTACGCCAACTGTTATGAATGTAACGCCTTTTTCTTTTAATTCTTTAACAATTTTCATTATCTTTGCATTTTGCCATTTGGGATAAGGTTTACCATCGGTTATTAGAACGAAAACATCCGGTGCGTTAGGCCTATTACTAGAATCAGAAAATACCTCCTTCAACTTTACCACTGCGTCAAGCATATTAGTCATACCATTTGGCCATTCTAATCTGGACTTAAGGATTCTATCATAGTTAGCGTAAGACGGTTGGTCTTTTAAAGTTATTAGATTTTTTGCATTATCATTAAATTGATTAATGGCGAACTTGAAATGTTTTTGTCCAATTTTAAAAGATCCCAATAATTGCCTTACAAATGTTTGAACTTCGAACCAGTGCTTGCTAACATTAAAATAGTCTTGAACGATTGAGCCTGAGCTATCTAGCATAAGGCCTATATCTCCTCTATCTCCTGATTCACAAGCTAAATGCAATGAAAACATGATTAAAATGCTATAAATAGAAGTTATGAATGGCAAAGAGAAAAAGAAAGTTATTTTCAATATTTTGTAAATATAGTAGTATTAAATAAATTATACTTACAAACTCTTTTAACCGTTTTACAAACCAGACCAAGCATACTTTTAGAGATTCTTTGCAATTCGGAAAATTTTGATATATTAATAAATAAATCTTTATTACTCGCAATATTAGTTAGGAGAGAACGATCTATATTTTTAGTAACGCCTATTGTAATAAAAGACGCTCCTTTACTTTTCAAATCTTTTACTATATTCAATATTATAGGATTCTGATTAGTTGGATAAGGTTTTCCGTCCGTAATAAGTATATAAATATCAGGTGCTTTTGTTCTCGTCCCCTGCCCCTCGAATAGCTTTTTCATACTTCGAATAGCATCAAGCATATTTGTTGTACCAGTTGGCCATTTCAGCCTATATTTAAGGATATCCTCATAGTTTGCTAAAGTTGGTGTGTCCTTAAAAGTTATCAAGTTTCTTACTCTTGTACCAAATTGATTGGCAGCAAATTTAAAGTTCCCTTCTCCAATATTAAAAGATCTCATTAATTTTTTAATAAAGCTTTTAATTTGACTCCAATGAACTGGATTATTTAAGTAATCACCAACAATTGAACCAGAACTATCAATTATTAGACCTATGTCAGCTGTTTTGCAACCTTGAAAATGAATGAAATAAAAATTACAAATATTTTAATAAACAGTAAAGAAAGAAAAGAAAATATTTCTTTTATCAATTTATTTATATTTTTACTTTCATTCGCTTTAGTGTCGGGAAAAGTCCAAAGGATGAGGAAAATTACAATAATTTTCAATATCATTCTTTTGAATAGTTTTCCATACAAACAAAATACTTGAATTTAAATATATTATTAACAATAGATGTTTATAAGAGTTTACGAAATTAGTAATATAAATCTATAAATATATATATTTATTCAAACAAATTGAACAATATACTATTTTTGAAAATTCGTAAACAAACTCGTATATATATAGCCTTTAAACGTAATCTTTTTAACCTTAAATAACAGTTAATAAACGTGTTAGCTGTCAAAATATTTCTTGTAAAATGAGGGTATGAAAATATGATGGTTATCTTTTTTTTCTTTTTTATCTTTCCATCTCTTTTCCGTTTTTAATTTTTTTTTTACAATTTTATATTCGTTTAGTAAGGTTAACTTGAATATATGAGAGAGAGAGAGAGAGAGAGAGAGAGTAAAGATATCAAACGAAAATGAAAAAAAAACATAGATTAGAAAGAAGGACACAATAAATTATATCTTGTTTTCATTTTATAAAGAAAATTACTGAATTAATTAACCTAAATTATTAATTAGGGACATTGTTTCTAATGAAAGAAAAAAAGAGATTACTCGACAAAATATTATAAAATAGATATGAACTGTACGTGCTAGTATATCCAGTATATATACCTATATGTATATATATATATTGTACATAGCTAGTAACATTCGCTTTTATATCAACTCTTGAAAGTATTGCTTAATATCTGTCTTTTTATGTGAATATAAAAAATATATCATTTGTGAACAGGGGTACTGAGTAATAATGACGTAATTCAATTGTTGGAATGTGTTGTATCTTGAAAAGAAATAGGCTGAACTTGGTTAATAAGACAAAGAGGTAGACTGGTTATAAGTATCGTGTCGTATTTTTTAATTTCTTTAAATATCTTTATAAATTAATATATTAGTATAAACTTATTTAAAAATTGATAGTAAGGTTGTAAATAATCAAATAAACAGTATTGAATAGAATAGAAAAAATTTCAATACTACATTAATAGAACACTGTTAGCCAAATACATTCCTGGTAAAAAAAAATAGGTCTAGTTTTTGGTTCACAAACATTTTTCCTTACAATATTTTTCATATTAACCCAGAATATAATGTCGACCGGTGGCCAAAACGAGAAAGACTCAAGCATATCAAGTTTAGAGAGAAGACCAAGGCAGTTTCAGAGGATGTATTCCCTACACGTAACCGTTGAAAAAACTTCTAAAAGGTAATTTTGTATATTTATTAATTAATTAATATAATTTAATTTATTAAATTAATTAAAAATTTGTTTAATTAAGTATCTAACAGAAAAATGATATTATATTATTAATATCTCAATGTGTTAATTGAACGAATTTCTTTTCTTTTTTTTTACTATTATTTGTAATATAAAGATAAAGAATTATTTTATTGATTTCTATCCGATATTGAGATAAGACATATCAGCTTTAGTGAAATTAATTATACTCTAAAAGTTTTTGATAATCTTATAAATAGAGAAACGAAACGAAATCAGTGTAATCAGTCATATCTTTATAAAATAATAAAATATTTCTTGTTCGAGTACTATTACTTGAACGAATATCATGGAAGAACAAGCTCATAGATTCGCTTATATATATTACAGCAAACTACTTACCTTTTTTACAATGGTAAGTATTCTTTACGGAACAATCATTTTGGCCCTTGGCATAACATTTCCGATGATAGAAGTTACGACAGGAGAATGGGGTAAAAAGACGGAAAATGGCGTAAGTATATATCTGGATAACATCTTTTTTTTCTACATATTAAGTTTCTTTATTGTATTGTTTTATATTGTTAATATACGATAAAAAAATATACATATATTGTACATATGTATATCTGTGGGTGTTCTTAAATAATTCGTTGCTTTCCCTTTCTTTCTCTTCATAGATTTTTATGGTTTATTTATATGTGGTCGCTACCATATTTCTCTTTTGTTGTCATTTTTTCATGATGGATAAAAATCAACCTATGCCAGAAGCTCAGCAACAAACTGATACTGGTAATTTTGTATGGAATACGACGTTTTTAAGACAACAAGGTCGGAGTCCTATCCCATTAATTACGCAACAACATATTGAACACCAAATGGTAATTTATTTTCTTGATTAACGCCTATTCTATAAGGTTTTTTCCATTTTTTTTAAAAAAAAAAATTTATTAAAAAAAAAAAAAGAAACAGAAAAAAAACTAAAACTCATTTTCAGCAAAAACGAAAGAAAAAATCTGGGACAAATTTTTATTTACGTCTTGGAGCTTTAGGTAATTTACATATATGCATATATTATCTTTTAAAAATTAGAATTATATCCCTATATTAGCTTTTTGTGCTGGACACGTGACTTATACTGCTTTAGAAATTGAGTATAAATTTTTACAAGTTAAGGATAATTGCGAAGATAGCGTTGGAACAATATGGACCTATTTCTTTAGAATATTCTTTCTCATTCTTCAAACCTTTTTCATTTTTAAACATTCAAAGGTATTTCACAGAACGGAACAAAGGGAGTTACCATTCTTTCTTTGGTTCTGTTCAAATTTGTTTCCTAATATAAATTCATAATAATTGTGTTTTTCTCTCTTTCTCTTTTCACTTGGAATATTTAGCCCTGCGTTCAGAATAAAAAGTTAACTGTCGCAATAATGGGGTTTAGTCACGTGATTGTCACTAATGTTTGTATTTGGCTAAGGACGCTTATCAACGAAATCCGACTTAATATCAATCATCTTGATGACCACTCAAAAACACATCATTCAGTAAAAAACGAAACTTCTACTATTGAAAATATTCAGGATGATTTACCAAATACCTCCAAAGTTTGTATAGAAACGGATTGGAAGAAGGAATACGTTAATGAAATAGTGCCCATACTATTTCCTTTCGTATTGGAATACAGTCTTATTGCGATGGCTACGTTCGTCGTTATGTACTTGAAAGTAGCCGAAGTTCTACCGGATTACAATAATAGCGAGGATGAAGATTCGTCTAATAGCGAATCCAGCGATAGCGAGGACGATATAGAAGATAATAAATCGCTAGCAGCACTTGACAATGCCGCAGCATTGCAACATATGTCTAGCCTTCAAAATAACAACAATCATCACCATCATCACCACCACCATCATCATCACCATCATCTAAGGAAAAGTTTACTAGATAAATCCCACACTGGCCTATTCTTTGGTATTTTATTTGTAACGATGATGATCATTTCAATTATTTTCTTTCACCATTATACTAAAAGAGGCGAAGGTATGAATGAATTCATAAAAACATATTTAAAATTCTCTCTATCAATAGCAGTAGGAATAGGGGTAAATCAAACGACAAAAATTTATAAATAGTATAAACGAGGGTGCCATCTGGAGTATATAACAAAATGCTTCTATTACATTGTACGTTTAATTTACAGTATTTAAGAACGCTATTGGTTAAAGTAAATTTTTATGATTTCATTCAATTCGATGTGTAGCTGAAATTGCTATTAAGATTTATTATTCAAGCTGTATTGTTGGGTACATCATATTATTCATTGCAAGCCTGGTTGCACTAATTCAACAATCAAAACTGGAACACAAGGCCGAGGGTCCGAATGTTGATGATGTTCTTTTATTAATAAGCCTTATTGGTTCCTTAGTTTTAGAATCTTTACTTGCTTATGCAAATGTTATATATCTTAAAGAGAGGGATAGTGGTGATATTCTAGCAATTCTTGCTACTATTACTGCTATAATCTCGATTGGTCAAAGTCTTTTCCAAAGTGTCACAATTCTTCTTGGACTCAGGGTTAAATGCATAGAAAGGGAAGATAGAGAACGAAAACCCGGACGAGGTGCAGTAACTTTTCTCCTCTTGGGTAACGTAGCAGTTTGGGCAGCTAGAAGCTTTACTGCAAAATCTTTAAATCTCCGTAGAGTCGACGATATAATTGGTGGAGTTACTTGGACAATGATTGTTAACGTAACATTACCGCTATTGCTCTTTTTCCGTTTTCATTGCTCTGTATGTTATGCTGAAATATGGCACCACGTTTACAGACATCATCCGTTTCTTGAGCAGAGAAATGTACCAACTAGAGAACATCAAACGACTATATCATCGGAACCAGATATTCAACAGAGTACATTGTAGAAAGAAAATAGAAACAGTTACTTTTATAACATATACAAATTAATATTAGCAACAGTAAAATAACTTTTCTCTTGTATCTTTCGTAGAGTGAAACCTTCTTTTTTTATATATTTCTTTTATTCCAATATCTACTTCTTATTATTTACTCGTATATTGCTTTATTAACGTGCCATTTAGATATAAAGACAATCAACTACTTTTTTATAATGTCTCTCAAATGAATGTTCTTTATTTCTTAATACCTTTCTCTTTGAATATTGAAGCTAATTAAGAAAAGATGGAGAGTGAGTGTAAGAGAGAGAGAGAGAGAGGGGGAAGGGAGGAAGGAAGAAGCAAGGACGTTACAGTATAATTAGTTTTATAAAAGAAAATACACTAATAAACAAACATATAGAAAAAGACATAGTGTACATAAACATATTAATAAGTTTGAACAGTATATATACATATAAAGGATTAAATATATTATTAAAAGAGTTAAACTTTTATGTTCATTATTAAAAAAATAAGAATGATTATCTTTTATGTAAAGGAAAAGAAAAAATAAGGATCAAATTGACAAGACAATATTCAATACCGAAGAAAAGGTATTTTCGACCTTTTATGAAAAAAATCAATTATCCCCATTCTATCGATATTATGGCATAAAAAGTATTATATTTTTAAAGGAGAAATATTATACCATTATATTCAATTATCTATTAAGAATAGGTTGCTGTAATGATTCGTTTTTATGATACTTTTATAGAAGATACTTTGATGTATAATCTAGGTATTAATTATGTCAAAATATCTTATTTAAAGTAAGATTAACAGAAGAGAAAGGTAAAAATAACAAAAAGTCAGAGAAAAACTTCAATTTTTATTTTATGAAGAATACTAAACAGAAAATAACTAGATTAAACTAATCTATTAATAATAAATACTCTATATTATAGTACTTTAAAAATCATTGTTCATATTTTGTATATAATAAAAGCAACAGAGTACACATATATATATATATATCTACATGTAAACATACATATATATTTGTATGGGTTCATACAGTTATATGAATAAATTTTTAATTATTTAAGGGGTCAGTTTTAATCAAATATAAAGAAATATGTTCTATGATTAACACTTGCTTAATTATTCAAAACTAGCAAGCCTTTATTATCTTTTTTACATTATTCAAAATTTTTTATTACAATTTATTTTCTTACTTTAACCTGTTGATCAAAAATAAAAAACTTTTATCTGAAAATTCAAGTTTGTATAGAGACAAACAAACTAAGGAAAACAAAAAATAACATGGCAAAATTAAAACATTTTTAAAAATATGGCAGAAAAGAGGACGATATAATTAAAAATAAATGACATATGTGTCAACAATTGTTCTTATTGGCTGTTCTATTCTTTCAAAAGAGATTTTATACATTATTCAATATCGTTGATATGCCCACGCGTACAAGGATGTGACGTCATTTGTTGTGAAGGAATATTTGAAAATTCATATTTTATTATAATTAGCCAAGATTTAAGATTAATTTCAAGTAAAAATAATAAAGAAGACTAAATATTCGTTTCGTTAGTCACATGTTCAAAATTGAAATTACTTTAAATATGCTCAAAACATATGCATTTTTATAATTTATCCAGCAAAAATGAGGTTTTCCTTTATTGATTGCATATATTACTTGTGTTAGCAACGCCATCAAAAATTCATACAGAACAATACAGATCTATGGCAAACATGTAGGCTGACTTTTCTATTGAATGGGAGAAGGTGAACGCGACGCATATTAGTTTATTGTTTTGAGATTAGCAAAGAGTATTTGCCTTTCCAGTATTCTTTATTGTTCATCATTTTTCTACTTTGTTTGAATACTGCTAAATGGAAAGATGACTCTAGAAAAATCGGAAAGCCCGGCATCTGACAAGGATTCATCAATAAACGGCCTTAAAGATGCGGAGGATGACGGCGGCAGGACCTTGAAAGAAATTGATAATATTATGAAATCTGCTCATAGAAATGAAATGGAAGTACCAAAATTAGTGCGAGCAGCCTCTCCAATGATACAAAGAAAAAATTCAGATCAAAATAAATCATTACAGTCCGTAAAACCCGTACAAAGAAACATGAGTTATAAATCTCTTGCTATGCTAAGCGTTTCTGATGTTAGCACGATTGGAGACAACAGGAATGATATAGATAGATATCAAAGGTATATATATATATATAAAGTATATATATAGAGTAGTTATTGTATAGATGCTTTTTGCTTTTCACGACTAATGAATGTTAATGAAATTGTTTATATTAACAAAAAAAAATACTAATTACAAAACAGGCCTGCATTTAAAATTGAATTTGAAGAAGAACCAGACCCAAAATATGAATGTCCTGTTTGTAAATTAACGTATTGGCAGCCGGTACAGCTAACTTACTGCGAACATTCTTGCTGCTACTCCTGCTATCAAGATTTAGCTCTGTAAGTAAAAAATTTTCTAAGTGATTTGATTTCACCTTTAAAACTACGTTTTTCATTTAAAACATGACAATAACGATAATAAGAGAAATATTTAAAAAATATTTATACAATAAGATAGAATTGAAAAGAAACATAAAACAAACTAAAGAAATATACAACTCTAAAAAGCTGTATATACAGTATTTAATATATAAAATTATAGAGACAAAGAGCTTGAAGACTAACAATTTATTATTCATAAATATGAAAAAATAGGATAAGGGAGAAAATATGATTTCAGATTGGTAAAATAAAGAACATAATATTTAAATAGCCTTTTCTCTACTTTTTTGTAAAAGGGAAATGTAATATTTAACAGTAAATTTTTATTACAATTAACTATATCTTTAGTCTAAAAGAATAAAAGAATACTTTAAATAGTTATAATAGAATTGGCTCATTTTTATTATTCAGTAAGTATTCATTTATTGATGATTAATAAAAATGAAATGTATTTTGCATAAATATCATCTAATTTAAAATTAAACATGTTTAAATCTTATTTTAATGTTGTTAAAGAAACAACTTTGACATTTCAATAGAATCTATAATTCTAATATACTGATATTAGTTCAGAATACTTGTATATTGACGAAAAAGAAAATAGAAATGATAGATTTTTCTTATGAACCAAAGTAACCTACTTTTCTAATGAGGTGAAATAACTTAGTCTTATTAGCCAAAGGATGAACAATCAATAGGAGTTATTGACTTATGACGTTAAAATTGGTTGCCAACTCTTGTCAATGGCGTCAAAAATCGTTTAATTAATTAGCTTTTTTGACATTTCATTTTCCAATGCAAACATTCTAATTTAAACAGCATTTAAGTACAACATAGTGCATTTACACTTTATAAAAGCTACAATTCCTTTACTTCCCCGACCTGATAGAGAAAAGGGTTATTCACAATGAAATTTGCTCATACTAAAATACTCTTAAACTCTTTCTCTTTTTCTATTTTGACAAATTAAATATTAAAAAGAAAATGGTATAAATAAATGAGCGAGAGAGAGAGAGATAGAAGGCTTGAAAAGAAAAGTAATAAAATTGATGTAACCCTATTGATTTTTAATTAGAAAAGAATTAATTAAATATTCAGGTAAACATTGAGAAAGTCTATGATTAAGAATATATAAAAAGTCAGTTATGAATATGACGAAGTATAAAAGCTTGAAAAAATGTATTAGTATATAATATGAGTTTTGGTCATTATAACCTATTGAATTTTCTTATAGATTCAACCTTTTCCCATTATAGATAACAGTATAAATTTTCCTTTACTACAAAGCTATGCAATTATTTTATGGACTTGAACTGAGAAACCCTTTCCACTTATGGTATCTTTCATGTAGATATATATACAGTATATATATACTCTATAGAGCTATATTTACACTATTTTTCAAAAAATAGCAAATCTAAGAGGTATAAAAAGTGCTGTATTACAGTTAGACGGTCTAATGGAATTTATAGATGTCACAAAAGTGTGTGAAGGCGTCTAATTTTTAATGCAACGCATTTCCTTTTTAGGATTCGTCTATTTTAAAAAATTAAACAAGGTCTCACCAATCTAAGTGCCTATTAATAATTATAGAATGATCTGAAAAAAAGATAACAGTACCGATATCTTAGTTTAAATACAATCTTATGTTGAAAGAATGAAAAAACTAAGGTTAATAATGAATATGTATATATTCTTATAGTCTTAATAAAAAGAGGTATTTTATTATATAAAAGACGTTAATTAAACAAGCGCTGAATTATAATTTTGATATAAATTTAAAAAAGTCCAGGAAGTGATAAAAATAAATTTAATATAAAAAGATATGTAATTGACAATTCTTCTCTCCCTCCCTCTCTCTCTCTCTCTCTTTTGTCTCCTCTTTTTTTTACTTTTTAATCTTCTTTCTTTTATAATATCTTTCTTTATGTACCTTAATTATAGTAATAAACTTTCCATGTAATACAAGTTTTTATTGAAAAACTAGGGGAAATATGTTTATGTTTTAATTGATCTCTTTATTGATTGAATGGTTTATGTTGCTATTTCTTTTTTCCTAAAACAGATCCGACGCTACTTGTCCGATAGATGGAGTAAACTTCGATGTAGATAACGTTTTGATGAATGTTGAATTGGGAGATGAAGTGAACAATTTAAAAGTAAAGTGCTCCTTCTTTAGAAAAAATTGCATTTGGGAAGGATTATATGGTGAAATTCCGGTTGGGAAACTTATTATATTTACATTACGTAGACATTTCTCGGTACATAACAATTTTTTTCCGATTACACTTTAGTATCATCTAAGCCAATGCATTTGGACGCCAGTAAAATGCCCAAAATGCGAAGAAGTTATTATAAGAAGTAACTTTGAAAGGCATATTACGGAAGAATGCAGAAGACGATTAATTCTTTGCGCTCTTTGCAATAAAAAGATCTATGCGGAGGACGAAATTAACCATTTCAACATTTGCGATGAATCTCCAATTGATTGCTCCAATAATTGCGGTATTCAAGGATTAGTTCGCTGTCAGGTATTTCAATTTAATATGATATTTTTGAAATTATAGAGATTTGTTGAGATTATTCTCAACAAATACTATGCCTGACATTAAATGATTAGTCTAACAACCTGTTATAATAGAAAAATATAAGAACAACTTTCATTTTATTATAATAGCCTTAATTTTATCATACTCGAAAAAGTTGGTAAACTTTTATACAATGCTCAAGTATTATTTTTAGATCAATATAATTTCAGAGTGTAAACATAACGCAAAGACTAAGATCTATATTTATCGATAGAAGAACCAGTACTTTTATACTTAATCATTAATTCCAGAACCTAGAAGAGTTCGATTAGTATTGAATGTCTTATCTTGTAAAAGAGGGTGATTAATTGAGTTTAAGATTATTAAGTTAAAAGCATTCGCTACTGTTCCAAAATAGATATAGTATTTATACAGTATATACTTTATGATGTTTATATATGTATATATATATATATATATATTAGTATATATATATATATATATATATATATATATATATCTTAAGTGAAAACAGTACTTCGAATAGAAGGGTTTGCTTCTATAATACCGTAGAATAAGATATCTTATCCTATACTTAATATTACTTTATGGCAGATATTAAATTAAGACTGCAGATTATGACATAAATTTACATTAATACATTTGCTATGAAAATAATTAGACAAATACTCGTTTCTTCTAATTATTTTTCAGTTCTAAATTCATCTTTCTGATCTATATTGCTTCCGGTTCTCGGAATACCGTTAAGTTAACCATAACTTCGATTTAAGGACAGACGTCTAATATCTTACTCATATTCTCCACTTACTCGTAGTTTATTCTGCTATTTATAGTAATTTTCCTTCAGTTTTTAATAGATTTTTATTCTGTAGCCTTAAATATTCATACTTAAATTGAAATTTTACTTTTAGGCTCATCTTTAAAACTACGTATGCTTCTACAAGGTTTAATATTAATGAAAAAGTATAGATATGTATTTAGATATTGCAGGGAAACCAGTGACATATTCGGATTTATTGAGCTTTTCTCAAAAAAGAAGTTATGTAGACAGGTGTTATGATAATACTCTTTTTTTCATCATCTATTTGATTAATGGATGTTAAAAGAATTTGGGCTATGCCTTTCTAATAATACTAATAGTAGACTATAAATCGTAGGTTTTCCTATCAACTTTTGTCTAAAAAGTGGACAGAAAATAGTTGATAAATCAACATTAGTATTATTTTCGTATCCATTATCTATAAATTATCACGATCTTTAAAAGTAAAAAGGTTGATCATTTCAAAGTTTTATCAGTGCTGCAACTACTGATTTATTAAAAGTTTTGTGGATTTTTTGGTACAGAAGTCATTATTTTTGCATTTTGATCATTTAAATCTAAAGCTTTATTCACATACAATTTCTGTAACTGTATATATCATAATTGTGGTAATTCCTTCTCTAATTTCAATAGTATTATATTTTAATTATTGAAAGCAAAGGTTAGACATCTTTCTTCGCTTAAATCTGATCCGTGACTATAGTATTTATCATCCTTTAGCATATGTTGACCATCAATAAATTTTACTGATAAATATCCAGAGCACGCTTTCCAACAGCAAGAAATTTGTAACCATTTTTTTATAACATCTAAATATCTATTTAAATACTTTATTCTATATTTCTGCGATTTATTTTAAGCAAAAATCAACAATGAGGACATATGCTGAATAGTTAATATTTTAATATCTGAACAATTCCAATGAAAACTCTAGTCAGATTGTTGTAAAACAATTTTTGGTATGTAAAAATTGTCTAAGAAAACTAATAATATATTTAACGTTAACATTTTAACCTTAAGCATTAAAAATTAGAATTTAATTTTAATTAAAAGCGAAAATCAATAGAAATCCACTATAAACGCTGACATGTCAAGAAGGGAAGGAGCCACAATATTATGAATTCTTAGTAAATATTTAATAGGCGTTTCTTTTCTTTCTTTTCTTCATTTGTTGCAGGCATATATATATGTATATAGCATAATCAAATCTATAATATATATAACTAATAACGTCATTGTTTCTATTTCAGTATAAGAATCATATAAATAATGATTGTCCTTATCAAGTAATCGAGTGCCCTTATGCTGTATCTGGCTGTGGTTTCAACGTAATTCTTTCATATATATACTATATATATATATATATATATAGACAATTTTTTATATTTTAATTTATCCTGCCAATCTAAATAATTAACCTAGTCTCGTTATTTTTTATTTAGTGCGAACGGAACAAAATGAACGAGCATTTGGACTCAAATTCTGATGAACATTTGGATAAAATGTATAATACGTTAACACATCACACAAATTTATTATCAACAACTAGGAAGCAACTAGAAGAACAAGCAGAACATTTAGCTCAAGTTGATACAAAAGTAAATGCAATGGAGAAATTATACGGGTCACAGCTCGTCTGGAAAATTGAAAATTACTCTGAAAAGCTAGAAGAAGCGAAAAGTGGTAAAAAATCAACTATATACAGTCCTCCTTTTTTAACATCCCGACATGGATATAAATTAGCATTATCCGCATGCTTGTATGGAGATGGAAAAGGTTTGATTTTTTCATATTTCCGCAATATAAATTATATATTAGATGATTTATTTTATAATAGTAAAAATTCTTTCACTGCCTAACCATATCATTTTTTTTTTGTCCAATTTATAGTGCGTGGAAAGTGTTTATCTATCTTTGTATGTATTTGTAAGGGAGATTTTGACGCTCTTTTGGATTGGCCATTTAGGCATAAAATAAAGTTTACAATGATTGATCAGAATCCGGATGAATCGAAAAGGAGGAACATAAGTCATATTGTTGAACCTAATATATGTAAAGAAAATATGTCATTTTTAGGGAGACCAAAACTGGAAAGAAACTCTTCGTTTGGAGCACAGAAGTTTGTAGAATTGGAACTTCTACCAACCAGATATTATACAAAAGATAATTGTTTATTTATTAAAGTCGATGTAGATAGCAAACATATGATTTTATTGTGAGATAAAAAACAGATGAAAAAACACAGAACAAGGTCAATTAAATTCAAAATTTTAAATTAACCTATTAACTCTTCTCGTCTTACATTTATTTTCTTTCTTCAGATTCTCTTTCTCTTTTTCTATTTTCTCTTTAGATATACAATATACATATACATGCCTATATACAGTATATCAGCTAGTCTGTCTATATATCTGTCTATCTGTCTATCTATCTCTCTTCTACATACACACGTAAACACGCAGCCCCATCACTGTTAATCTATTCTTACTAATTTTACATTTAACTTTCCTTAAAACAAAAATAAAGAAAAACAGAAATAACAATCGTGTAAATAAACTAAAATGATATAAAGAAAGAAAAAAACTATACTAAAAAGAGAATGTTTATATTTAGCATCTTTTTCTTATTCTATTATGAAAAAGAGGCAAAGTGGCAACAATAATAACAATAAACAACAATAGAGAATAAAAGATTAATATTTTGTAACCTTTGAAAAAGAAAAAGTTTTAATTTTTTATATTTTTTCTCTATTAATGACTTAAAGGCTAAGTTATAATTATTACTACAAATATTTAGTGATGTATATTAAGGTATATGTTGAATATACTTTATGTCACTATCATTTTCGTACCTTTTTATAAATGTATTCATATTTTTGAGGTGAATTGGTAACACTCTCTGAAAAAAACATTGCTATATAAATATATGTGTTTATATTTATATTTAACTATTATAATCTACAGCAATATTTATTCTATTTATTTATTGTAGAGTTCTATGTTGTACTATTTTATAAAGCATATATTTTAAATTGAACTCTACGACTGTCTGATGATTACTACTTGAATAAAATCCAGTTTGATTCATTCACATTTAAATCTTGAGATAGTATTCATATACAGTATATACACGGGAGAGTGAGAGAGAGAGAGACAGCAAAGGAATAGAAATAGAAAGATATATTTTTTCTTTTCTTCCTATATTATAGAGAAATATAGATAGCTGCTACGCTTTGTTTTATTGTCATGTTTTTAGGATATCAAATAACAATAAATCTCTTGGACGATAGATGCATATGGTACTATTACCTATGTTCCCTCTATTTACTGATAGCTTTATAAACGACAGCTGTAGTTGGCTTTTTTTTCAAACTTGCCTTATTCTATTATAAAAATCTTATTTAGGGGAAAATACAATTTACACTCCAATGTTTTTCCCTTTGTGCTCACTGCTTTCTCTTTCTGTGTCTTTCTACCACCTCCCTCGCTGTCTATCTCTCTCTTCATCTCGCTCTTTTAGTTTATTCTCCCTCTATGTCTATACAAAAAATTAGAAAGGAATGACAGATAATATTGTTGTTATAAGAGAAAATAAGTGGTAGTTTTATTAGAAAAAATTTGTTTGCTTAAACCTTCACTTCAAAAACCTAGAGGTTATCTTTCACTGTTTGTTGTAGCTAAATGATTTTGATGTAATGTTGCCTGTTAAAAATGTTACTGAAATATAAATTTATTCCAGTTTTTTAATACTTTTTAATAAAAACAAAAAGTATTAGTTTCTATCAAAATAAGTAGAATTTAATCAATTTATGTTTTAAACAAATATTTTCCGATAATTATCATGTATATCATATAATTCTTCATCATGTTCTCTTAATCTTTATCGCTACGAAAAAGCCGTTATCCGATGGTTGTTTGATCTAGAAAGAAGACGAAAAAGTTCTAATCTATCACTCTGTAAATTAACTTGACAACTAGGTGCTATCTTCTCTCTGAGAATTTTTATATTTTTATTTAAAATTATATATACCCTTTCCTTTCCATCTATTCTAATGAGTTATAGATATCAATAATAATTGGTGAAAAAGAAAATCATCCATAAAAGCAAACCTTCTACTTCATATTTAGAGATTAACAGAATACAATAATGTATGAAAAGAGACATTAGCAGATATATAAATTGAGCTAATTGATCATTGTGAATAGTTTATAAGTATGTTAATTCCATCAACTGTCTTGTCCAAGATATTGCAATAACTAATCAAGAATCTTTATAAATGAATGCTTTTTATTTATTTATATAAATTATTTAAAGTAAGTTTATAGACTAGGTAGAATATAGAAAAGGTTAATTTATGAGATTTCTATAAATATATATATATATATATATGTACTTTACATAAAATTTCAATTAAAGATAAACGTCAATATATTTCCTTGGGACTCTATTACCTTTACTAAGTTCAGATATTTACGCAAACTAATCATGGATTTTTTCGCCTACTCAAAAAGGTAAGATTAATAGAAAAAAAGAGAGAGAGAGAGAGAGAGTCAAGCTGTAACGCTTTTTAACTTTTTTTATATAAAAAAAAATAATGAAAAAGAAAGTTTTTTTTTTATTTCTATTAAAAAATATTTCTGGGAGGGATAAACATTTCTTTTATCAAATTCTTATATAAAAAAATATAGAGAAATATAAAGAAATAAATTAATAGTAAAAGTACAAAAAAAAAACTAAATATTTCATTTTTTTCTCTCTTTTTCATTCATTTTCTCTTGTTTTTGTTTTTATTAAACAGCTTAAACTTTTTCTTTTAAAAAAAAATATGTTTGTATTGTATTGTTCTTTTTTTTTTATAAAAGTTGTATTTTTTTTCTTTTTGTTAGATTGTCCCTATTTTTACCTTTTTATTTCAACTTGAATACATAAAAGGTAAAAAAAAACTTCAAAAGATTGCAGCTATTTTTAGATTTTCATAACTGTGCCCTACAAATTGTAAGACACTCTTTATAATTTGCAATCTTTTATCATCACTAAAAGCTAAAGTATTGTATATGTATATATTTATAGCAAATATTTAAAAAGTTTCTAGAGGGCATGTTCCATATGTATAATTTTACATGAAAAGAAAAATTAGAAATTGCAAAGATCGATTGTCAGAGATAGAGAGAGAGAGAGAGAGAGAGAGGGAGGGAGAGAGAGAGAGAGTGAGTGAGAGTGATAGACGTGAAAAAGAGGGAGTGAGTGGGAGATAGAGAGAGTCAGAGAGATAGAGGGAGAGAGAGAGTCAGAAAGAGAGATGAGAGATAGAAGGATGTAGAAACAGGAAAGAATAAAAAACTTTAAATATTTAAAACAGACTATTTAGCTGATCAAATTTCAGTTAAAAATTCGACTGAAAATACACATTATTCTTTGAATATTTATATCAAACGATTTGATTTCGTATACCATTTCCTCATTAGGTTCAACTCCAGAAGGGAATGCCTCATTACCCAAAGTGGTAACTGGTGTTTCATGATTTATTTAAATAACAGGAATAATGTATCGATTTGTCTATTTAGCTATTTATTCACTAAGGATTTTTTGACAAACCGTTTGTTAGATTAAAAAAGAAATAACGCTAATCAACAATCATAGAAATAGTGAAAGAGAAAAGAGTAGAAAAGTGTCATCAATCTTCCAACAGATGAAATTATATATCAATAAATCTATAGATTTCTTATTTTTGCCTCTTTTTTATAGACTTTATAGTAATAATAGTAATAATTAATAGCATTAATAGTGATATATATCCAATTGAGCATATTTTTCTCTTGAATGTATAATCTTAATCCTCTTTCTTTTTATCTAATAAGTAATTTTTTAGCCTTAAAGCCCAAAATAATAAAACGAGTGTGTTACACGTTAAACGTTTAATATTTTTAGTAAAGGAAACTACTGTTTGCTAAGACAATTATTTTAGCCTTAGAGAATTGTATTCACTAAATACGCCTTTAAAAAGTAAGAAATTTATTACTCGTAACTAATCGCCTATAGCTATATCCACTAACGACAATTGCCCGCAGTAAAATTGTTATTCTATGTTAAAGACGCCATTTACCTATTAGTACCGGAAAATATTTTTCACATCTTTTCTTATGAAGATCAGGTTTGATACTTAAATAATAATTTCTTCCCAACTAATCTATGCCTTCCTCTATATAATTATAAAAGCTTGTTAAGTAAAAAGTATATAAATAAATACTCATAAAAATCCAATTATCTCTATGAATGGAACTTGCGTTTTACACATTTCTTCTATTCTGTTCAGCATTTCTTATGAATATCATAAAGAGAGATAAAAGTTAAAAGAAGAGAATATATATATCTCTAGTATATATATATATATATATATATAGCTATATAACGTTAACATTTTTATACGGTGTATATTATATGTGTATATAATATATTGTATTTGCTTTATGTACTCTTACATATAGGTGAAGAATCTTTTATTACACTCTTCTATCTAATATATTCAAATTTATGCTTTACAGCAAATACTGCAAGCGTTTTAAATTATATATATAGAATTATTATCAAAATTCTAGTGGCGCTACCTACAAAAAACGTATAGCTTTCGCATAGCGAATCAGACGCTCCATCAGGCGTCGAACGCCGTTTTTTTTGGATTGTCTCTATCAGGATTTAAAATTCGTTTATATGGTAAGCTTCCAGTTCTTTGCAGATAAAGAACATAAAAAGTAGAAGAAGATAGGTTTTTTTGATTCTTTTCTTAATTTAAATTAGCTTGTTGAAGATTAACTTTTACGTTAACCTCTTTCTATTTCTTAGAAAAAGAAAATTTCTTCCCTTTCCTGCTTTTTATCTTTCAATTTCTTCCTTTTTTATATCTAAATTAAAGAAAAGAAAATTAACTTTTTCCTCTTTTTTTTTTCATTTTACAAAAGAGTAAGTCACTTTAAGTTCTATTTGCTTAAAAGTGTCTATTTGATAGAGGAAAATGTAATCAAATGAGAAATAGAGAATTCAAAAGGTCATTACCTGAAAAGTAGGCAACAGGAAATAGAAGAGGAGGTTAAACTAAGATTTAACGTTAAGTTAATTAATTTTTTCTTGTTATATACTGTATACAGTTTATATTTATATATGTATATGTATTAGTATATACTGAACATACGTTTGCATGTGCTGAATATTTTATATCTTTCTA